GGAGGATGAACTTATGATATATGATGATGATACTAAACATCGATAAAGATAATGAATGTACAATGATAGTGATAATATAAGGATTGTATTAAGAATTACTTTACCGTCTCTTATTCTCTTCCTGTCTCTTTCCTCTATCTTATTCATTCTCTTCCTTTTCTTCTATACACACTTATACGTATGATCAAAGTATACGAAAGAAAGCCTATGGTGACAGGTTATAACTGTGTGCAGTCGCACTACGTGCTGTGTGGGTGTTACGATGATTGTACCAGTTAGGATTAGATATAATTATAATGCATAGTTATATTTTGTCCTGGTAGATACGTGAACAGGAGAAACACGGCGCGGTTTCGATGCACCGTTACGCACGAGACCCAAAGAGAAAAAGTCAACAGATAAACAAAACAAAAGAATAACAAACAATAAAGGAGAAAACACAATATCAACAATCCCTCAAGGGAATACCCAAAACACAGAAAGTAAAACGAAAACAAAAATAGGATTGAAAAACTTGTAAACAAACACACAAACAACCATAAACAACTTCAACAAACATTTTCCTCTCCTTTCCTCCCCCTCCATCTTTATCCCTCTTAAAAAGGAAGGACCTCTTTCCTAATCCCCAGACAAAGTATTCAACTCATAACAAGACCCAAGCTTTTCACTTCCCCCCCCCCCCCCCCCCAGTATTAGCAAATAAAAGAATTATGTATGTCCCGGCCTCTAGCAATTAAAAAAAAATGCATCATATGTCAGATCACCACCTAAGAAAAATACAAAGCAAAAGGCTACCCCACCACAACGATTGGAGAAAGAACATGACCGAAAAACTATCAGAAAGCGACAAGAGTACACGCACACGTACCACAAGCAACGAGAAAAATAAAACAACTGATAAATCATCGAGAAACCCCCAGAATACAAGGCACCCCAAAGAATTTTATTTTGTTTACGGACACAACGATCCACTGCCCAAACCATACGAGCGATAATAAACAAAATGAAGCCCGGCTTAAAAAATGTGACTAGAATAAAGAAACAATAAAAAAAAGATACAACAAAAGAGAGGAAAAGAGGCAAGGGAACAAAGTAGGAGAAAAAGAAATAAGAATACACCAACACACACCAACGACCCACATAACAAAAAAAGAAGAAATAAAGCAAAAAAAAATTTCGTTGTCGGTAAACACTAAACAAAAAAAAGAAGAAAAAACTCCCCTAGTCCAAATTAAGTCCCAGGAAAAACTTGTGCATAAGCATATTAGAACAGACAGAAGAAACGAAGTATTAGCAAACCCTAGCTATCTGGCCCATATACCCACTCGTTGGGAAAATAGTTTCAATAGTGCGGCGTCATAAGAAAACATCGGAGGACTTCCTGCGAAGGCGCTCCCCTAACTCTGCAGACGAAGAAAGAAAATACCTTCCCACCTTCAGAGAATTGGAGCAAGAACAAGAGAGAGAGGAGAGAGAGACAGAGAGAGAAGAGAGAGAACGAGGAAGAAGGGAAGAGCAAAGGAACCCCTCACGACCCGACCAAGAGCTCACCGAGAGACCCCGTAACGACCCCGACTCACCCGACCTCACGTACCCCCACCTCCCCCCCCTCACGAACCCCGGAATAGACTCAAAAGCGCCCGTGCACAAAACGATCCCCCAGCACTCCCCTCATCCAGCCTGACCTACGACTGACGACGACTGACCCAGTGCCACTTGTGAGCGAAACTGAGACAGAGAGAAGTCGAGAGAATACATCCTATGACCCTCGTCGTGATCACTTCCCCCTGACCCCTCTTCCTCCTAGCGATATGATCACCTACCCCTCGCTCTCAATTATACTAAACTAGTCGACGATAAAGAGATGCACACCTCCCCATGATTGAGACCCCCACGAGATGCTTCTACCTCCTCAATAGAAGAAGCTTCCTCTCCTTATAGAGACGACCTCCCCTAGACAGACACCAGTGTACGATGCCAGCAGAGAGCAGAGGGAAACAAAGAACGATGGAAGAGAAAAAAGAACGGACCGAGATAGATGTAACAAGACGAACAAGAACGGACGACTGATGCACCGACCACGATGATCCCCCCATGAGAGAACAGAGCGAAGACACCGCGAGAGAGAAGAGGCGGAAAAAACAGAACCGAGAGAGAGGAGTGAGGAAAGAGAACACCAGATTGGTAAGAACAAGAATAAATGGAATGCAGCGGAAGGAGAGGAGAGAGACAAGGAAGAGGAGCGGACGAAGTAGTCGGCGTGGCTGGGCGCGGTTGGCATCACCGTCTATCATGATTCACCTACCACCAAACCTACCCTCCCTCAAGGCGTTAACCCTTCATATAATCAACGACCTCCTCACATGATTCCCCCTCCACTTTACACTCCCTAGCCACCACATTCCCCTCGCCAGGTCCCTGATCCCCTCTCGCCTCCCAATCCCTCACCGGCGTCCCCCTTCCCCTCCAAATCCCTCCCCCTTCCCTCCCAAACTCTCCCTTCTATCCTGGCCCTTCTTCCCTCCTAACCCCTACGAATCCAATCCTTCCCCTCCCCCTCCAAAACCCTTCCCTTCCCCCCCCACCAATCCCTCCCACTCCCCCTCCCCTCCCTTCACCCAATCCCTCCTCTCCCCCTCCCCCCCTACCCCTTCTCCCTCACCCAATCCCTCCCCCTTCCCCACCCACCCCCTCCCCTAGGCCTCCCCCCTTCCCCTCTCCTCCCCAACCCCCACCCCTCCCCTC